CCCGGAGCCCCGAGGGAGCTGCGGCTCTTGGCTGCAGCGAGAGGAGGCCCCGGAACCAGCCTGAATCGAGCTGGCCGGACCCGGAGCTTTCCGTGACGGCCTAGAACCAGGTCCGTCAGGGCCTCCCTGGGCGCGCGGCGGCGCGCGCGGACCGGCCCTGCCCAGTTCTTAGAGCCGCTCCTACTTCCCGCAATGCTTCCCCACCACACTCCTGCCACACACTTCCTGAAACCCGCCCTCGGTCCCCGGGTCCCGCCCTGGGGTGAACCCAGCGTGGAGCAGGGCCAGGGCAGCCCACTCGGCCCCGGGGTTGCACCGCGACAGTCTGGGGAAAGGCCAGGGAGGGGGCATTTGGGAGGCCAGCTCTGCCCGCGCGTCACCCTTCCCCTAGGAGTAAGTGCGAGGGTCACTTAAGAAGACAAAAATATTCAAACCAGGCTGACTTTACTTCTTGCCCATAGACCTCCCACTGGCCCGCAATTCAGTGCTTCCCTTTCTCATCCACATGCTCACCTTCTCACATCCCAGGATAGCGATTTCCCATCTCTCGGCTTTCTGCTAATGGCGCTTCTTGGACAGTGGAGCCATCAGGAGGGAGCCCCAGCCCCACTCAAATGCAGCCACATCACCCTCCCGGAGGCCCCCTCACCACTCCAGCCATATCAAGAGATGAACTCTAGAATTCTTGTCTAACGTCCCCATTGACCCCACAACCCCCACTACCTTCCCATGGTCTTCCTTGAAAACCCGCTGAGTCCTCACCCACCCTTCACTTTCTCTTTCTGGAGAGAAAAGTAGACACGCGTGCCTGCCTTCTCTCAAACTTAAACACTGAGCTCCTCCACCTCCGTAGAAGGCCTTCAGCCCTGTTGGTCTGAGAGTCCCTTGGGACACCTCTTTCTCCTAACCTTCCACACAGACAGCACCTACCCTTTCATGTCTCCACTGCTGTCATCCTTTTAGGACCAGCACCGCTTCTCGGGACGGCGGCATCAGCCTGCTCCCAGTTCCATCCAGCCCCAAGTGATCCTGCAAAAGTGTCACCCGCTGCTCAACCTCTGAGTAGTGCTGTGAACTGCTCTGTGCTGTAAGGATCGGCCAGCAAGTCTTGGCCCTCGGTCACCTACCCCAAAAAGACACACTCTTCAGCTGACTGAAGTTCTAGGCTCTTTTAAGAGTCTGACAGTGACCTAACTACAGCGCACGCAGCGATCACACGGCATACAGCTTTACGTCACCCGAGGTTGTCCATGCTCATTTTTTCTTTCATCTCTTATATCCACAGAAACACTACACAGATTTGTGCATGAACCTCTCAAAAGCTAAAGTCAAGAAGAGAGCTTTGTTCACATAAAAACAATTGTTTGTAACTTCTAAAGGCCATACCTCCAAAACAAAGCTGGTCAGGTAACCCACAAAGGGTTGTACCTATCAGGAGAGGCTGTACCATGAGACAATCAGCCCAGGCCCTCCTGGAGCCCAGCAGTGCAATGGGCAACTACAGCTGATGGAATCCTTATGGAGATCAAAAAGCCACGTACTGAGCCAAAAAATGGTGAGAAATGCTGTGCTCAAAAAAACAGGACACTGAACCATCACTGAAAGTAGTGCATTTAATTCACGTATTATAACACATAACACATAAAAAACTAAGACATCCAAGTCAGGTGATAGGCCTGAGACCAGAAGGAGTTCTTCACTCTGAAGACAGCACACTTTATTGGAAATGGTCAAGTGGGAATGTCAAAAAAAACTGAAAATTCACGCTAATTACACAAAGAGTCCAAACAACATGAGAAAGCTATCACATTTCATTTAGCACAAAACGAACCAAAAGCAAGAAAACATGACACAGGAGAGTGAAAAGTTAAGTCCACATTAACATGCAGATTGAAAAATGGGAGCACAAAATTTGGACAAAAACAATATTTCCATATACTGTTACATCTCTTAAAGATGAACTAGAATATTCAATAATGGTCATGAAAGCGAAAGAAAGACAAGGCCTGTTACTGGGTCAACAGTGCCCCTCT